AACTCAACATTTCCAGCCACATGCCTAAGTCAACACTCCAGCCACATACATACCCAAGTCAACACTTCCAGCTACATACATACCCAACTGAACATTTCCAGCCACATGCCTAAGTCAACACTCCAGCCACATACATACCTAAGTCAACACTTCCAGCCACATACATACCCAAGTCAACACTTCCAGCCACATACATACCCAAGTCAACATTTCCAGCCACATGCCTAAGTCAACACTCCAGCCACATATCCAAGTCAATGCTACTAGTCGCATGTTCAAGTCAACACGCTCACTCCTTCGCATAATGCGAGCACAAACGAAACATCGCTGTCCACGCATGGTTTATAGACTTTGTAAAACACGTAAAGTGTGGGGGAAACATTGAGTTCAATGTACTGCAAGAAAAGCTTCCTGCAATGGAAATTGCGCTGAAAAACAGTTCAGTCATAATGATGACCATCATATAGACCGTCATCGGTAGTGTAAAAACATGTAAGACGAGGCACTCATACTCGTTTTGTTACCGTTAATATCTTTCTGTGGTGTTGACATTAACACTAAGTCATCCATATTAATTAATTTTGTGTTTAAAAGAAGACTATGTATCAAAACACACGGACATATGTTTTGTGTGTGGTTTTTTTATGCACTGCAAATAAAGCTTATTTAGGACATTATAAGAAATAGTAAAGGCTTATTGAAACGCGGTTATAGCATTGACTTATGTGTAGTTAAAGTAAAAAATAAACGACTAGAATAAGAATAATTAAAAACTTCGAGAAAAATAGTAATATTTTATTTTTCTGAATAGGATCAATATTCTTTATTTTATCCTTTAGCCATTATTTAAACTTTGTTTACTGTGTTATTTGCACATGGAAAATCTGGTGTCTAAATTACCCTTGGAAAATGTCAAAGATTATTTGATTTAAAAAAGTATATCATGTCATGTTTATATGATTATATTTGAGATAATTGGAACATCTAGAACATTTAGAATGTCTCATTTGTTATACAGAAGTTTTCAGGATATACTGTTATTATATGATTATATTTGAGATAATTGGAACATCTAGAACATTTAGAATGTCTCATTTGTTATACAGAAGTTTTCAGGATATACTGTTATTATATGATTATATTTAAGATAATTGGAACATCTAGAACATTTAGAATGTCTCATTTGTTATACAGAAGTTTTCAGGATATACTGTTATTATATGATTTATTACCAGGTATCCGTAAATGAAGCTGCTGCTCAGATTTGTAAGCACATCCCTGCCCTCCTCACCCGAAGAGATGAACTTTTCCCCTTAGCCCGACAGGTGGTGCGGGACAGCGGATATCAGTATTCTAAAGGCCATTCCAGGTATTGACCACTTTGTTTTCTTGACCGAACAGTACATAAAACATTTTCGCACGTTGAATGTGTTTTATGCGCTCACAAAATTTCTCATTTATTTATACTTCCTTTTCAAGAAGTTGTATCTCGTCAGTTGGTGAAAAAGCCTTTTTATCGTTGTATTCATTTTCGCTTAGTGCTGTTTATGTAGACACTAATATATAGATTCGTTGGAACTATGCGTGTTCTGAAGAAGTATACCGGGTCAGGTACACAGCGAAGCACATTTACGAAGTATTTAGGAAACTTAACACCTACATGATTGTTTAATGGCGTTCGTGTAACATTAATTAAGTTTTTGCATGAGTTTTAATTAACCTGATCCGGGGCCTAGTTGGGAGAGCTACCTTAAATTAATGACACTTGCGAAATTCTTGTGTCTTCCTACACCATAAAGTTCAGTTCAGCATGCGTTAATTAAACGTATCTTACCACTTCTTATACACACAGCTCTGTAGATGTGAGCTACATTCGTCGTTTTGGAAATTTCATGACTACACCGAAGGAACGGCTTGCTAGACTGAACATGCTTTTTATAAATAGATACAAAAAATTCCACGTCTAGATTTAAAAACCGTGTATTGAGCTAGTTGGTCTACCCGTTAGAAAATGTTACTTGAGTAGCAAATGATTTTTCTCGTTACTGGAAAAAAATATTCTTAGAATCCTACTGTTGTTATTTTTAAAGAGCGCTTTTTACGTTTCGTGTTTTACTGGAGCTATTTATAACTTGTGTTAACTTATTTGGTGTATTTATACTATCTGAACATTGCAATGCTAACAGCAAGAAGCTAACTAGTGCTTCAAGAAATTTTGATCCAGAGACAAAGACTTAATATATTGTAAGCTCTGAATTTGTGTTTGTTGAGGAAAGTAACCCAGTTTCATTATTCGATACCAACTTTTTCCGTTATCATTTCTTCTAATAAGCTTCTCTGGGACGTGTCATTCCTATCAAAAACCAAAATTCAAATTCTGTGAAAGCAATGGATGAATACCCCATAACCTCGTCTCGAAGAACACCACAATTACACAAAAACGAATCTGACTAACGAACTGTTCTTCTCACACACATATATACACATGTTGTAGGCAAAAATATGATTCCGAAATTGAATCTTCGTTTTTTATTTCTATAGTTCATACACATTTTATTGCAATTGCATGAATAAAGATGAATTTGATTTTTGCACGCGCAAATTGGCCTTAACTGTAACTATACTAATAGAGCTAAAAATTTCAGACTTGACTTTTTAACAACTTTGATTAAATAAAAAAACGAACAAATGAGAAGCAATTTTTCAGTTTTGATTAACTATTTTAAAAATGACGATTTGGTGAGTGATTTGCAAAACCTCACTCCCAAATATTACAGGTAGTTTAAATTTTATTTTTTTCTTAATTTTACGACTCTGTTAAATCGCAGTGTAAAATATCTCTTTGTGTTTTTTGTTACGTTTACCCCCATAAAACAAAGAGATATACACAATTTTGTTACGTTTACCCCCATAAAACAAAGAGATATACACAATTTTGTTTAGTTCATTTTCTAATAAAACAAAGAGATATACAGAATTTTGTTAAGTTCACCCCATAACTTCTGTATATCTCTTTGTTTTCGAAGATCCATGCTTTTTTTGGTTTTTAACTAACACCGAATTTTATACCATTAACAGCGGATTTTGTCACTTAACAAATCAAACCCCCATGCTCACTTATATTATACAAAGTAATGACTTGATTGAGAGCTACATTAAATTTTCTAATGAAACACACGCCCTAAATTTTAATTACTGTATACCACTGTTCCAAGATATAATCAGGGGTAGAAAGATCTACTTGAGAAAGCCATGTACCAGGAAGTACGGTGATGACTTTGAAGTTGTTGTTTTCTCCATCAATATGGTGTTTGGCAGCTAGAACAAAATTATCAGTTTTGACGATCCTTCTAGGTCTCAGGGCTATAGATCATGTGATGAAGATTCTTGTAAGCGGCCCAGGCTGGACCCGAGCCCTTATAGTTTGGAGGAAGAGAAGAAGAAACGACAAGTAAGTGTTTAAAGTTTTCATCTTTGGCCTATCCTCTATGGTAAATGAAATTGATTAAAAAATTTAAATACTATTTAATCTTGTTCAGGACATCACAAAAACTTCAATCATGGTTAGTGAAAGTAGGTTAGTAACTTCCTTCCACTGATAATCAGTTAATCCAATTTAGAAAACTCCGAATTTTATCCCATTATTTACGTCTTTTCAACAACAACAAAAAAAGTTAAAAGAAGTAACAACTCACAATAAACAGTGAAATAGAAATATACTTCAGAAGACTTAAGCCGATTTAAAAAATAGTGCGGACTAGATCTGCAATAAAAAACATACCAATTTTGATATCACAACGAAAAATGTATGTGTAAAAAAGTTAATAAGTGGAGCTTTTCTTACGTGTTTTATCAAAAGCGTTTCACAAGGAAATAGACAAAGTACTTTGGTTTACCTATTCTTCAACCAAAAAAGAAATATTTTTCCAAAAAATGTTGGAGTTTAAAAGTGATTACAAGCTTAATGATAACCGAGTTTCCTCAGAATATAGATTTTCTTTTTTACAGTTTCTCATGGCTCTTCTTGTCATAAAATAAAGTTTTCTGGATCATGTTTACAGTTTCGACGTTTTTTACAAGGCAACTTATTAAGTTTAATTTGACATTTTTTGTTCTTTTTATTTCGTCGCAGAGACTTGTTCACATTCTCGTAATATCATGTAGTAATAGTTTATTAATTTTAGGGCTAGCTACATTTCTTCTGTACTTTTATTATATATTTGCTGTAAACTTACAATATGGGTGTACTCTAATTAACTGGTATTCTACAAAATGTATTTTATTCAATAAAATTGTTGAAAAATCATCTCTATCTCCAATATCTACACGCAGCTTGTTTTGTTGGGTGCAGCTTTGGATGTATGAATTTTCACACACACTTTTCTGTAGCAAAGATCGGGTACGAAAATAGTAGATTTAGGTTAGAGTCACAAATTCGTTTGTTGTATTATCAAGAACCGTACAGGGTTCATTTTCACGAGTACTTTTTGAGCTCATGATAATTGTGAAAGAGCCCTTGGTAATTTCATTCACATCCCTAATGTTATTTTCATTTTTTGCTAAAATAAATGTCTACCATTATACCGTATAGGTTTTATATTATTTAACAACAACTTGAATCGATCAAATATTATCAAGTCACCTACTGTAACGGTAACTTTTCTATCAGTTTTGAAACCTATGGAGTAAGCTAGTGTTGTAAAGATTTATAACATAGAGAACAAAAGTATCACGTTTCCGCAGATTCGTTTAAGTAAAGAAACAATAATAATGCTACATCTTGTACACTGAATATGAGTAAATTGTAGCCCGAAACAAACGATCGTATTAGTTGATCAATCTCCCTGTCAGTATCACATTCATTGTGTTTTCTCGATAGGTCATGTGCAGCATAGTTACAAAATGGCCACTGCGAATCATATTGATTTTTAACAGCGGGCTGTAATCGCGTTCTTAAGGCACGGAGTCTTGATATAGCACTCTCTGACATCCATCTTTGGTCCTCACAAGGACGATCTGCGTGGGCACCTCTTCCAATGAGAGAACTGGTTTTCTTAACGCAGCTGTGCGCAATTGGATTCGTAACACCACATCTGCATTTTACTGAACTGGTGTGATGGAAATACTAAAATAATGGAAGAAATGTATTATACTTAATGGAGATTATGTTGAAAGGTGATGTTTGACTGAGCATATCTTCATCACTCTTGGTTTATGTTTGTTGGTTTGAATCTGATAGTTTGGCTTAATGAACGCCTATTAACATAAAGGTTGTTCGCAGCCGCACAAAATTTTAAGGTTCGCTAATTAGAAAAGTTTACGTCCTCTTGATATTGAAACTTAGGCTAACTTACAAATTGTACTATTGAGAAGAAACTTCTACAAAAACATTTCATATTTAAAGAAATCAGAAGTTATTATCACGAGAAAAAAATAAAAAATAATTTCATTTGTTTTATTTTAATGTCAATGTTAGTAAACCTTAAAATATTAATAATTTGGTCATTTTCTGTACTAAAAAACTAAAAAAAACAACGGTCGATGTAGAATTCTACCACAAAATAGAAAATAGAAGACATGCACCCTTATGCTTAATAATGAAATATATATTTCATTTTGTTACATTTTTTACTTTTCTGTCAGGTCCGGCCAGGTTGTTAGGGCGCTTGACTCGCAATCTGCGGGTCGCGGGTTCGAATCCCCGTCCCACCAAACATGCTCGCCCCAAGAGTTGGCGGTGGGTGGTGATGATTAGCTGCCTTCCCTCTAGTCGTACTCTGGTAAATTAGGGACGGCTAGCGCAGATAGCCCTCGTGTAGCTTTGCGCGAAATTCAAAGCAAACAAATAAACTTTTCTGTCGTATTTCACAGAAACAAAACACGACACTTCCGTTTTTAATTCCAGTGTTTGACTATAGTGTTTGTCCATAGAGGACAAGATTTAATCGCCAGCTTTCCCTTTTCCGTTGACGTTTCGATAGAAAATAATCAAAAGACGGAACCTTGGATCTGAAAACCTAATTTCGAAATTATAATATTGCTTTTACCTTTACAATTCACGATTTAGAAAAAACAAACAAAAAACATGTTAGATATTAATATAAGTATGTTTCAAGAAAGGTTCTGCATCGTAACACACTTAAAACGAATGTTTCATGAATATAACAGTATACATTTTTCATTAATTTGATTACAACTTCTTACCAGTAAACATTGAAATTACAAACAAACAAATAAACGATAGGCTTACAGTCGTCAGCTTCGGATGCATAACGGTAAAGTTAGCCAGTAAAGTTAGCTCTTGATATTATTATGAATCTTCACAACAGAACTGTTAACAGTAGCTAACATGTTATTCTTATCTGAAGCAATGTTTGTCGTGCATTCTCGGAAAACCACGATTGGTCTAGTTAATAATGAAATGTTAAAATTTTTATTGAATGTCGTGATGTTTTACTTTCTAATTTAAAATGTACGGAATTATTTTGGCTTTTTTAAAAGTTTTATGTTGCAAATGTGTATAATCATTGTAAAAACTATCTTATAACTTGTTTTTTTTTATCTAAGTTGCATTATACTGTTGTGTTTTCTATTACATTTATTATGGTCAAATGCAACAGGTGTTCATAATTACGCCTTAATTATTAAAACTGATGACTAATTTCATATCATGGAATATTTCTCGAAGACTAAACTGGATTGTCATGACATTGACAATTGGGTTTTACCTCTGATGTACCTATGTGTAACCTGCAGCTTGTAAGTAGCACACTTACGAGAAATGGGAGAATGTCGTAGACACAAGAGTGACCTAGTGGTATCGGACTGGAGAGCCGAGGGTCTCGGATTCGAGACACGTTTTGCACTTTCAGCTTTCGGTGCGCTGTAAAAATGACAGGCATTCCCGCGATTCAATGAAGAATAATCGCTTTAAGCGGCGAGTGTTGCCGACTGGTTACCTTCTCTCTCGTCAACAGTTCAAAATTATAGCCCATTATGTACATAAGATGTCCAGGTGGACAAACAAATAAACGTATGTGGACGAATTCCGCTGTTTAGTTGTTGAGACTTCTGTGTCTTAAATGGTTAATGTTTGAAATGGAAACATAAACATATACCCACATTTTTATACCTTTTGTGTTTGTGGGAGTTAGACACTTCTCTGATAAATGTTGCCTCTGTATTTGTGGGAATCAGACACATCTCTGATAAGTGTTGCCTCTGTGTTTGTGGGAGTTAGACACTTCTCTGATAAGTGTTGCCTCTGTGTTTGTGGGAATCAGACACATCTCTGATAAGTGTTGCCTCTGTGTTTGTGGGAGTCAGACACATCTCTGGTAAATGTTGATGTTGTATTTGTGGGAATCAGACACATCTCTGATAAATGTTGCCTCTGTGTTTGTGGGAGTCAGACACATCTCCGATAAATGTTGATGTTGTATTTGTGGGAGTTAGACACTTCTCTGATAAGTGTTGCCTCTGTGTTTGTGGGAATCAGACACATCTCTGATAAGTGTTGCCTCTGTGTTTGTGGGAGTCAGACACATCTCTGATAAATGTTGATGTTGTATTTGTGTGAGTTAGATACTTCTTTGATAAGTGTTGGTGTTGTGTTTGTTAGAGTTAGGGAATTTTCTGGTAAGTGTTGATGTTGTGTTTGTGGGAGTCAGTCACTTCTGATACGTGTAGGATTTCATTTAGCTTTTAGAGAGAAAAGCTAAATCAGTTTCAAGTGAAGAGAGTAATTTTATTACACCCGATATATATATATATATATGTCTGTTGTAACAGCTGTTTCTTTAAGTTAAATAAACCGGGCAACACAACAACAACAAAAAAATGAAACTGTTTCTGAGTAAGTTGACGATGCTGATTCGAAAGATTAGGTTGACTATTACTGATCATCTCTAGGTTTGGAATTATGATAGCTTTATTCAAAATATTCTTATATATCATAAAAATAACTTTTTCTTCAATAACTTTATTTATTCATTGTAAATTGCATACAAGAATGTTAAAAAACAATGCATAAAGCAATGCCAGTTTAAAAAAGCAATGACTGTAATAAGATTATATACTGCATGTTTAAAACTTTCATCGTGGTATTATCTTTATTATAAAATATCTGCTTGACTTGTTGCGCCTTTTGTGTATGTTCTCAGTTTGACGCTGTAAGAACCAACAGTAATCACCCATCGTCCTTGCTATCGCTGTTCTATTGTAGAAATATCCTGGTGGAAGCAGTTAACATGCTCATCGCTCACTGCACCTAGATCATTTGGAAAGAAGTCTAAATGGGAATGTAGAAGCGTATCTTTAGTGACATCCTAGAGCCCATTTTGCTCTAGTTCTCGATCATATCATTAATCATCATAGCATAGTTTTCATCTCCGCGATTTCCTAAAGATACCTCCTTTCATTTTTGTTTCACTGATTTTCGGAATCTTGTAGAACAGATATTTGAAACATTACCGTATTTATTCATCCCTTTTACAAAATTCTTCATGAGTCCCAGTTTAATAGGAAGTGGGGGCAGAAACACATTTTAAGGAGTCACTAAAGGTTGACACTCAATATTCTGTATGTAATCCTCTGTCAACGGTTATTTTTTTAAATGAATATTATCACTTCAGCTGTCACAGAGACACAGAAATCAACAATGTTTGGCATTACCACTCTGCAGGCCTAGCAGGAGTGCAATAACTTTTAGATCACCACGTGTGTTCCTCCTATGGTGATCATATTTGATGGCCTCAAGTATAATCTGCATGCTTTGATAAGTTTCTTTTATGTTCACAGCATGATCAACAGGAATCGATGCCTTATTGTTTCCATTGTGTAAAACTACAGCTTTCAGACTAATTTTAGAGTATGATGTTCAGTACTTAATTCTTTCATTAGTGTATCAACATTTGTACAGAAACACAAAGTATCTTGCAAGCTATAGTGAGAAATAAGACTTTGATGGTGACTTCGATTGTTTATTACATACGCCAAGAAACATAAGTACATTTTATTCAAGTTATATATTCTTTCGAAGTCAACCATTTTTAATACGGATGTTCCAGGAAAGGATTGAAGCAATAGGAGAGCAGCTGAAGACCTTAGGAGCACAGCAGGAGGAGCTGAAGGCTAAGTTACAGCAAAACCGCGAGCTCCAGAACTATTCTGGAGTCAGTCACATACAGCAACAGCTGGAACAACTTTCTACACAGCAGATGCAGCTTATTAACGAGCAGAGTGAGCTGAACAAACAGTTAAAGAGACTTGAGAGGTAAGTGAGAAGTGTTTCTTGTGTACAATATGGCACTACCTTGTATTGCTCAAAACAGTATTAAAGAAAATCCAGACACGACCTAATGGATTGTATGTTAGAAAACACCTAGACAAAACCTGAAAAGTTGTACTTTGTATTAACTAAATTCTAGACAAAATATGATGTGTTCTGCTGTATTGGGGAAAGTCCAGACATAATTCACTCTAGTGTAGTTGAAAAGGTCTACACAAAATCTAATGGGTTTTACTGTATTACACTGTGCTAGAGAAAGTCCAGATAAAACCTAATTTACTCTACTGTATTTGAGAAAGTCTACACAAACCTAATGGTTTCAACTGCATTAAAGAAAGCCCCCAAAAAACTTTATAGGTTCTATTGTATAACAGAAAGTCCAGACAAAAGCTAATAGCATCTGCTGTATAAGAGAAAGTGCAGACACATCGTATGATTATATTATATTGATGAAAGTTAAAACAAGCTGTGATGGGGTTTTACTACACTGTGTATTTAGTCTTAATTCAACCAATATCTAGCATGTACCACATCTAACCATCTTAATTTTATTTATTTTTTACTGACGTTTTGCATTCTTAATTGTATTAGTAAATATTTTGCAAAATTTCAGTAACCTAAACTGTTATTAAAAACTTATTGGTAGGTACATAGTAGAATGTCTAATATGCTAACTTGACAGTATTTACTATTATTTGAAGTGTTATAAATAAATAATAAGTATTTCTTCTGCAAACTTCAAATTTCATCAAAGTGAAAATTTTTCAATATGTGTTCAGGAAAAAATATTATATTTATGTTGTTTTCTACATCTTCAACCATAACACAAATAGAAAAATAGCAAAAACTGTATTCTTCAGGACTAATTTACACATCTGATGTTGGATTCAAAGTCCAATGTCTCAGAAAAAACACTTCCAGGATGGGCAGATTTATGAGAATGATCAATTATTATAACTTCTGTAAAACAAACTTTGTTTTAAGATTTTGATTGAAAAACAAACTGAGTACCTGTCTGTATATTTAGGGCAAAAGGGCACACATAAATCTTATGTAAGTTATCAACGTTTCATAGGCTTCACATGTTCCATAGCTTGTTAGTAGGAAATAGATTTTTTGCAGTCATTTTCTTAAATCCATATTGTAGAAAAGGACTTAAGGGTTAATATATCTATCTACATTGAGTCAATTATTATATCTACAAAATTACTCATTTTTAAAATGGCCAGATCCCTATTGGGAATGGCAGTAGGAGGCTGTGAAATTTTAATTTATATTCTATAATTCCTTCCTTTCTAAAAATGTATACAAAGGTGTGATTATTTACAATTCACAGGTTTTCACTGTCATTAGTTTCTCTTTGTTTGTTGGTTAAGTAAATTACTTGTTGTAGTCAGTGATAACTTGAAACTTTGTGCAACTGCTTTTAGGACAGAATCTGAAAGTCGAAAAAAGTAACTCTTACCTAGTTCATATGAAACACTTTTCCATAGAATGTTTGTATAACGTTTTAATGACGTGTAAGCTTTCTGATTATCTTAATAATGTTTCCACTTGATAATGTTTCCAGACTTGTAAAGCTTCCTGATTCTCTGATAATGTCTTAATAATGTTTCCAGACTTGTCAGCTTCCTGATTTTTTGTATAATGTCTTGATAATGTTTCCAGACTTGTAAAGCTTCCTGATTCTCTGTATAATGTCTTAACAATGTTTTCAGATTTGGAAGCTTCCTGATATTCTGTATAATGTCTGAATGATGTTTCTATGACTTAAAAGCTTTCTGATTTTCTATATAATATCTGAATGATGTTTTAATGACTTGTAAGCTTCCTGATTTTCTATATAATGTCTTAATGATGTTTTCAGATTTGTAAACTTCCTGATTTTCTGTATAATGTCTGAATGATGTGTTAATGACTTGTAAGCTTCCTGATTTTCTATATAATGTCTTAATGATGTTTTAATGAGACTTGTCAGCTTCCTGATTTTCTGTATAATGTCTGAATGATGTTTTAATGAGACTTGGCAGCTTCCTGATTTTCTATATAATATCTGAATGATGTTTTAATGACTTGTCAGCTTCCTGATTTTCTATATAATATCTGAATGATATTTCAGTGACTTCTTGATTAATTTTTGTTTTGTTTCCTATTACTAATAGTTTATGATGGAAGGAACTTGCATGAAACATTTTAAAGTGGGTACCAATCCTCCTTATACCATGAGAAAGTTGTTGACACTTCCTTTGTTCTCATTCATTTCATGCACTTGACAAATAAAACCTGGGGTTAATCTTTCTTTTCAAGAGCAACACCAAGTACCCATCTTAACCATATACTACCAAGTTACACATTAACACCAGTGCTTAAAGCAGTAGGTTGAACAACAATTTTTTTACCAAAGTACCAAGTTGTGCAGTACCAGCTGATATGTTGCTCATCACGAATTGTAGGTGCTATCTTAGTACGAAAAGAAAAGAAAAATAATAAAGCCCCTAACATTACATATCTCAATGGGTTCTACTCTATTAGATAAAGTTTAGACAGAACCTAATGGGTCTTACTGTACTAGAGAAATCTTAGACATAATTTCAATGAGTCATAATGTATTAGAATATGCTAAGACAAAACTTAAAGGGTCCTACCACAGTACAAAAAAAATAATCCAGAAAAACTTATAGGTTCTACTGTAGTAACAGTAGAAATTCAAACAAAATCTAATGGTTTCTACTGTATTATTGTACTAGAAAAATTCAAACAAAGCTTAATAAGTTCTGTTGTATTAAGAGAAATTCCAGAAAAAACTAATTGTTAGGGTGTCAGTACCATATTCTGATAACTATATTTAAATATCTTACTGTTGTAATGAGATTCTAGATTGTTAACCAGATTAATTTCGATAAAGCTATATTCTTTGAATGTAAGTAAAGCTCCTTTGAGACTTTATTTGCTTGTATTTAATCACCTCACATGCTTATGCTACAGTCTCAGTTCTTGTTACAAACAAAACAGCTCCACCAACTTAAGTCTATCAAAAAAAAGGCTAAAAAGTGTGTTGTGGGTGTGATTTTCAAAGCACAATATTATGGTAGAATTCACATGCAGAAAAAAGTCAGTGGTTACATTTCATAATCTATAGAAACTCAGTCCCTGATTTCTTTCCCATGTTATGTTGTTGAGTTGAGTTGAGTATAGGTGATCCCTCATGTTCAAACTAACTGCTTAACTGGAAGTAGAAAAGTGTCTCTTTACTGATGCTACCAGTGGCATTCTGATTCTCCATCTTTTGATTTTTCTTAGTTACACCATACTACTTTAATTTACAGATGTCTCATTCTCCTTGAATTTTAAAATGTGCTGTTGGTGTTCTGCAATGCTGCTGAAATTTGTAAGTTGCAATAGGGTTTTGATGGAGGGGACTGAAGTACATCTCTTGACCAGTCTTAAATAGACCTAGTTGTATAGCACTAATACTAATCATTGGTAGTGCATAATCCAGGGTAGAGCAAAACAAGACTTTGGTAATGCATAAGCAGGTGACGTTCCTGAACTATTTTCTGTTGCAACTTTCACTGCATTGATGCCTTTGGTAACTCTGGTTATTATGGTGCTAATGTGGCTGGTAATGTCGTATTGTCTATCAAAGGTTATCACCAGTACTCCAATGTTTCTTCCAGAGGGACAGAAGTTCATGCTAATGATGATGATGGCTTGTCCTCATCAGCAGGTCTGTTGTTCAATGTGTAGAACATAGGTTTGGTTGTGGCAAGATTGATAACCATTTTCTCATCATACTAAGTGATGTTTGCATTTTACTTTCGATTTCAGTTCGATTCTGTACGCCAGATTTTCGTCAGAAAATGTTAGAACACAGGATTTGGTTGGACTGACAAGAGATGTTGAAAAGCACTAGTGAGAGTGGTGATGCTTGAGGCAAACCAGTGTTATTAGTGAACCACTTAGATTACTAGCGTCCATGCTTCAAGATGCATCTTCTGGTAGTTAGAGCAGCTGCTACTCATCTTACACCGATGCCTATTTTAAGCATTTTTCAACGAGAATGAAAACTGGACTCTATGCTGGACTCTCTAGGCATCTTCCAGATCTAAAACTGCTCCAACTTCACCAACATGTATCACCACAAATTCAGCAACATTGATCTAGAGTTTTCTTCAAGTGTGGTTACCATCTAATGATGATGGTATTAGTGGCTCATTCTGATAGGCAAACCTTCTAGCTATAGCCTTATCTGGAATCTTGCCAATTATATGTTGTAGGACTATAATTTAGTTGCCTTTAAGATGAGAGTAGGTAAGAATCTGATAAAGGCATCAATTCATATTTCAGGGTGCTACCTTTTACTTTGCTAAATAGATACTACAGAACTAACTTCAACATGATATTTTATTTAAGTTTCTTAAAGATGGAGATTCTTACACCATATGGACCTGGATCTCTATCTTTAGATGTATTCATGGGTCCGTGTATCTCATCTAAGCTAAAGTTGGCTACCATATTAGCATATAGTTGTAATTCAGATTGAGAGTACTGTATCTTGAGGCTCTCCTGCATGTCAGTACGATCACAGTGGTTACTGTTTGTGGGCATGAAGACGTTGCCTTGATCTTCATCTGTATGGAATGGAGTATCATATTTATCGTAAATTACTAAAGTTGCCATGTTTTTGGTTTAGTTCCTGTGTGAATCATAAGATGTGGAAGCAGCAGAATGATCTTTTCGTTAATTTCTTTTCACGTCATGTGCTTTGGAAGCCCATCCGTTGTAGAGATCACAGACTCTATTCTGTGCAATTCTTACTTTCTGTGCCCTGTTATGCTAAACCTTATCTGCATGAACTCAGCATGGGTTTGATTGCTGCTTTCCAAGCTTTATCAAGATCGCTATTTCAACAGTATAGGTGTTGATCTTCTTCTTGTTGAAGTTGTTATTTTACTCAATGGGTGCTACAAAAAGCTTGATGTCTT